CCGTTTAGGCTCTTCATAACATAGCCTGGCTTACAGTCTCTACTTGCATGAAATCTATCATAACAGGTCCCTGATGGCAGCTATAAAAATTATGTTACAGCACAAGTGAGCAACCGTCATCTTTTGCTATTCTGATGCTATTGGTTTCAACAGGGAGCAATTAGATGCACTGAGTTTCTCAGCTTCGTTATTCCACCTCTTGAACAGTGCCCCTTTCCCTGCACTTTAGAAGGCATTTCTTGGGTTTGGTGGGAAGTCAATGTTTGGATCAGGGCATTCAGTTTGTCTAGATTTAGATAAGTCTTCCTTTCGGTTAGAGTTGCACTAGATACATTAGTAGCAGTTTTCTATCACCAGGCCACAGTTCCTACTTTAAAGATAAAATTTTGATAAGATAAGTGACATTAAGCTACTAGTCCTCAACTACTGGTCAGAAGCTACAAAAGGGAAAAAGAAAAAACATACTGCACATACGCACCTTTATCATATCCTCCATATATATATATATATACACACACACAGACACACACACACACACACTCTGGCTCTCTGAAGTGATTTAAAAACTAGCCATAGTCACTGTTTCATTTCCAATTTTTTTTCCCCTGTTAGTCACAGGATCACAGTCAACTTCTGTTACATCCCATGATGTGTCCACCTTGCAAAGAAAAATACAGGAAGGAAATTTTAAAAAGTCAACTTGAGTGATCTTAGTCAAAAGAAGCAACCAGCACAATGGTAAAGTGTATCTGCAACTGGACAACAGAAGAATTTAGTAACTTTTTTTTAAAAACAAGCAACTTGGACATCTACAGAAACATCATTCTTTCCTTTCTCCTATCCCCAAATCAAAAAAGACCTCAGAGGTGCTTTTCTATTGGAAACATGACACTTCAAATTGTGCCCATTTATGCTCTTTAATCATATCTGGGGAGATATTAAGTATGTTAATGAGGCTCTATTTGCTTTTATGGTTAAAAAGACAACTGTTAAAAGAGGTCAGCCTGCCTAGGAAAAAAGCAGCTGCACTTGCAACAAAGCACAGATTGTGGGCTGCTTTTCCCAAAGAAATACAAATTTTTTCCCAAATAAGAAAGACAAGTTTGGCAGGAAATTTTGTTCTTGACCAACAATTGACTAAGTTTCATTTTAAAAGTTTACAGTAAACGGAAGGAGGACTTTCACGGACAGTAACATTTCCGCGAGCGTTTTCTCTCTCTCTCTCCCCTGTATCCATACTGCAGAGCATTAGGAACAGAGAAAAAAAGAAAGTCATGAACATCCTCTAACGCGTGACTCTGACTTTCCTTAGAGAATTAGGGCTTCAGGCTCCAAGTAGCCACAACTGCTGATATGAATCAGTATTTGGAGTGTGAAGCACTTTCCAAGCATCATCCCTTCAGGCCTGAATCCTACCACTGCTCCTTTGAAGTGAGGGCTTCAAGGCAACAACCCCATCCAGTTGATGGCTTGACCCTGTCCTCCAATTTAGCCTCCAGTCTTCAGCACTCGAGGCTTTTGAGGTAAGAAAGTTCAGTTGCTTGATAGGATTTGGTATGCGCAAGGTTTGCCTGAGCAACTGCAAGGAGACACAAGGCTGTCACTACACAACGCGCCAACAAGGCTGCCCATGAGGCACTCGGTGATAAACACAGCAAGTTCCAGACCACCTCTGTCCCCCTCCCCTTTTTGTAATATCTTCTTCCAGGCTTCTCATTTACAGAATGCTTATATGGTACCTATGATTGAATGAAATCCTGAAAAATACACCTCATTTGCCGAGTGCAATATGAAACCTTTAATACTCACTCATTTACTTCAGAAAAATAGATGGTAAAATATTTATCCTGGTTATGCAGAAGTGTTAAAGCATAGTTATTTTCAGTGGCACCTCTGTTTCTTAATACTGTTAACATATGCCAAACCAAACTTTGAAGGACAATGCTTTTTTAAAAAGTCTTACAAGTTTACCTCTTAGTCCCTACAGAAAATAAGTCCTGTTTTTCAGTGCCAAGGTTACTGTGATGATAATCCTAAAAAAGGGGAAACTGCTTATAAGATAGTATTGAGTGCAGAAAGAAAAATTCCCAAAGTAAAGGATTTTTTTTTTTGAGCCACCACTTACAGCGAGTTCAGATGCTGCTTGCAAAAAACAGAGGATTAAACAATCTTGATTGCTAACAACTGTAAAATGTTACATTCCTTGAAATACAGACTGTTAGCTTTCTTCCACTTCACCTCCTGCAGCAGTCGGGTTGCCAGCTACACTGGTTATGTTGAAAGTTATTCATCATACTGAACAGCAGTTCCTGGAAAAAACTATGCTAGGAGCACATGTGTACAACAACATAGTCTTGATTTTTTCTTAAGAATTCGTCATCTTGCTGCAGTTTTACCAAAAAAAAGATCAACTGCTTTTCTAGATTAGTGCTAGAAGGGCAATACAAAATTAAGCCACAGCACCAACACTGAAAGCACCGTGCGCTTCCAGGACAAGTGCAAAGTGGTTTACAATTTTACAGGGCAGGTAAGGAAAACTCAGTAGTCAACGATGCAAAACCCACAGAGCGATAAGGCTTGAGACACCTTAATTATCTGATTGTATTTGTGTACCACAGAGTCCCCAGACAGCGGGTCAAGTTACACAGCAGGAGGCTAAAATACAAAAGCTCAGAGCAGGGAGGTTAAAGATCAGTAGACTCTGGCTGCTGTGGTTTAGTTGAACAACAGTACCAACAAAAAACCTCAAGTAAAGCTACAGACCTGCAGCACATGTTTAAATAGCCTGAATGGCTCTTCCTCCAAAACCATGGTGGAGAGGGACAGTTACTGGAAAAAATGACCGAGTGCACGTATACATTGTGCAGAAGCTTTAAGAAATGGATGCTCTTCCAAGTGTAGCTAACATTTGCCTGCATAGCTGAAGAGCGCATTGAACCTAGGCCATTCGACTTACTAAAAGTATTATGTTTTATGAGAAAACGGTTACATTATTTCAAGAACACAAATGCTGGGATTCTGTGCTTATTACTTACGAAGACATTGAACTGGTGTTGAAATTACGTCCCCCCCCTCTGCAATGAAACTGCTCACTTCGGCATAGTGATTGTACCTTGTAATACTGCTAGACCAATATATTTTTTTTGTTGTTGCCATGACAACAGTGCTGTTAGGTCAGATCTAAAGCAGCAGCTGCCTTTTCCACTGCCAGACTTCGACAAGTACCCCCCCACACCCCAACACACGTTCGCTCTGCTGCCTATATACCCAGATTTAGGTAGCCATAATTTAAGGAGAAAGAATTATGAGCTACACCAATTTTTCTACCTCCAAAGGTCCACTGTAACCATCATGAGACAGGCAGCACGAGCAACACAAACACATATTCCTACTGTAGCTGTAGTAGCTCACATGAGCTTACACAGGCTGAAGGTCTCTCTTCCAAATAAATAATGAGCATTTGCTGTTGGAACTAGTAGGGTATGCATTGCTTAATGACAGGGTGCAACATACAGCTAAAACTAATGAAAGCATTTAAAGAACACTAGGGTCATGCCCAGCAAAAACCTACAACATTGTGCCCTACGTTTATACCCTTAAAAAGAAAGTCAGACTTACCATTTTCAAATTAAGAGTCTGTAGATATTACCATAAAACAGTACCTGTAAGAATGAACTAAACTGAGCATAGCACAGGCAAGGAAAAGGGCAAGAACTGTACATAAACACTTCCCGAGCTCTGCCATTGTAGCCTCCCAGGCAGACGGCACACGCTAATCGTACTACATTTTGTAAAGGTGAGGAGACGAATGCTAGCAACAGAAGTATGGCCAGCCTCCACGGAAGGGAAAACAAAGGGGCTACCAAGATGATGAGGGGGCTGGAGCATCTCTCAGATGAGGAAAGGCTGCGAGAGCTGGGCCTGTTCAGCCTGGAGAAGAGAAGACTGAGAGGCGATCTGATCAACGTGTACAACTATCTGAAGGGGGAGTGTCGAGAGGATGAGGCCAGCCTCTTCTCCATGGTGCCCAGCAACGGGACAAGAGGCAACGGGCAGAAACTGAACCACAAGCAGTTCCATCTGAACCTGAGGAAAAACTTCTTCACTGTGAGGGTGACTGAGCATTGGAACAAGTTGCCCAGAGAGGCTGTGGAGTCTCCTTCGCTGGAGATATTCAAAACCCGTCTGGACGTGATCCTGGGCAATATGCTCTAGAGGACCCTTCTTGAGCAGGGAGGTTGGACTAGATGATGTCCAGAGGTCTCTTACAACCTAAACCATCCTGTGACTCTGTGAAAAGGTTCATATCCAGTGCATCACTTGGCCAAGACTTCAAATGCAACTGAGATGACACAAGATGGGAGGGGAAAAAAAAAAAAATCAAAATCTTAACAACTGATGTTTTTCCACAGCTAGGGTTTTACATTTTCCTATTATGTGTTGAAATTAACATTTTAAAAGAAAATTGAAGCGTACTACAGTATATTGATGAGATCATTCATTTAATAAAGAAAACACTCACGAGTAGACTTCAAGTTTCTGGCAAAGGTATTACCCCTGAGCCAGATATAAACAGATTGAGCCTTACCACCATGTGGTTGTGACTGAAGGACTGAGCACTAGGATCATTTATTAAAGAGGAAGAAAACCCAAGGTTCCAGAAACAAACATTCCCCATTCAATGCTTCCCCAAACATTATAGTGTAACCCCTCGGAAGCACTGAGGCAAGAACTCCAGAAAGTTTGGCTAAGAATTTGGAGATATCCCACCAAACCATAGCTTGGTTGCTAATAAGAAGCAACTAGAGAGAAAGACTATTAACTAAGGTTTTGATTAGCTATAAAGAGGAGGCAAGTCCAGTTTGGTACAGAAACTACTGGTCTTCTCACAGGTCACACTGCTCATCTTACTCAGCTATTTCCTATCTTTGATAATACTGACATTTATGTAACTTGCATGAGTTCCAAAACAATCTGTATTTCTAATGATGGCGGTTTGTAAAACAATTTAAACAGCTGCAAGTATTTACGACAAATCAGATTATCTCTTCTACCATTTACATGAAGGCTGTTAAAAGCAAATGAATATCAACAATAAAAAAAACATTCGTGAAACACAGAGGTTTAATTAAAAACAAAAAAGAAAGCATACTGAAAGAATAAAATACTTCAGATACACAGCAATTATTAATTACGAAGCTGTTGATAATCTTGGAAAAGCATTTGGGAATTCATGACTAAAGTATTCAGCCATGAATTCTGAGGGAGATGGAGGAAACAGCCATGACCTTCCAAGTCCTTCAGCACCAAAGCACATAAAACTGTACTACTTGATGTATTTTTCCATGAACTTTTTGTGAAATTCTGATCGCAGAGTATCATTTACGAATCTTTTGTCTTTTTTTGTTTCATCTATTCCCTTGGCACAGTTCTTGAAGACAACATCATCATCCCATCTAGAAAGAAAAGAATTTTCAGTTTTAATATCTTTAAACTTTTAATGAAATTTAGGTGCAATTTACAGACCTTAATGCATTTGAATAGGAAGGCCAAGCCCCATTTAGAACAACTGCTTCTGTGGATCAGGTTTTTAGAAAAAAACAAAAACACCTTTTTTCATTCAAGCTATTACCTACATGCTTGTGAGTTAGAAAGAAGTGAGAAGAATGTCAGTGGATAAAGGTCTTATCTTTACAGAAAATAATGGTCCTAATTTAGATAAACCCAACAGGAACTGGAATACCTATTAACAAGAATCTTACTCAGAAAGGGCTATCTATTAATTCCAGTTACCCTAAAAAGACAGCTGAATTTCATCAGCTGGGCAGGAGCATGACATCAAATTTCTTGCGGAACTTTGGTCCTGGTACTTTTCATATCAAAGTGAACAATGCCAGAAAAAAAAAAAAATACTTCTCCTTTTACAAAAAGTAAGCAGGGCGGTTTGTTCAGAGAAACAAACAAGATAATCACTACATGCAGTAGCATCTCAACTGCACACTACGCTGTTCGTAACAAGATGGGAGCAGGAAAAGAAAAACAAACGGCAGTGATGACATTTACAGATTCTTACAGTAACAAAAAGGAACAAGAGGAAATCACACTACAGGCTGCACAGTACCTCCTCTTCACTTTGAAGTTTGCTTGAGGCTGCGCTGGGCCGGTAAGGTTCAGTAAGGGGTTGCCACTCAGAATGTTCTCCATTCGAATCCTTTCCTCTTCAGCCTTTTGCTCTTGTTCCTGAGAATCAACAATGGATACATTACTTTCTGGGGACATTTTTCTAGTCTAGTTGTAGAGAAAGATAAATTTTATTTAGCTGCAAACATCCACACAGACAGCTTTAATTCCTAGCTCAGATCTTCCAGGCTGTTTGACATTTGTGGGTAAGCAGAATCAGGACAGAAGCAGCGATACTCTAAAGAGCTTAGTGTTGTTAATAAGCTGTCAATCTAGCAACACATTTCTAGTCTACTTGGCTTTGATGTTCCACCAAGTACTCTGTTAAATTCTAGCTTTAACATTTACATATTTATTATATTAAAATTGTATACAGATTAACAGATTTTCCTTATCCTCATGAGGAAAGAGAATACATTATACAATATCCATTTGTGGAAGAAATGTTATGGCATCTACAAGCTTCTCTATGATCTTCATAGAGAAGGTTGTTTCCTCCTCTTCAGCAATATCCTCACATTTTACAACCACAGCTTCTCCAGGGACCCATTAAAATGAGTATGGAAAAGTGTAAGGCAAAACTGAACAGGAGGAGTGATAAGACTATTTAGAAATTCTGATATTAAGGATCAGAAAGACTTACTTCTTCTTGCACTGGTAAAAAGCAACCAATTCAAACCTAACTAAAGCACTAAACTGCAGGCAACACAAAACAGATCTCACTCTCCACATTTACTAGCTGTAGTAATATATTTAGTGACTTAAGTGCTTGCAGACTTCAAAACGAATGTAACATTTTATATCAACAATTTTTTCCATAATCTTTTAAATGTTTTACAAGGGGTGCTCTTTGATGAAATACCAGAAGGAACGAAAAAAAAAAAAAATTCTCCCATCTAGATGACTAACTAGGTCTCCCCCTCCTTCTGTATGCTAAAGTACGATCTGAAAACCTTCTAGTTAAAAACACGCTCAAGTCTCATTAGTGCTACAGGAGACTCAAAGCATGGCTCTTACAAATGATACAAACTCAAGATAAAGATCGAGAGTGATGTTTATTTTCAAACTGTAAAAATCATGGCTGAGGCATGCTATGGATCCCAGAAGAGGTATGCATTTCTTGATGAAAGCATTTACAAGATTTGAATGCGATAAACTTGAGCATTGATGCTCGCCAGAGTTCTCTTGCCTCAAACACTTAATCACAATTGATACATTAATAAAACTATCTACAACTTTTAACATTTTTCAATTAATAGATCAGCTAAGTGGAATACTCCTATAAAAGACATCCCCAAACCCTTAAGTGTAATATTAACTTACCATATATATATATATACACACACTAGACTAGGCAGGATCATTGATGAAGACTTGATTTCGCCAAAACTGCTAGAGTTTAAGTTATGAAAAATACCTCTGATTAGACTGCTTCTCACAAACAAATTTTAAAACTAGTTGCAATTAATTGCCAGTGTGAACATCTCCAAAGAAGGGCATACTGCTTAACAACATGGCACTGCTTCAGAACAAGCTCTGTAATGCCCCAATTAAAACATACGGATAGGCAAAACTTGGTCTTGCTGTTGTATCCATGGAGCTTTAATACAAACTGCAGCAGTTAAAGTTACTAACACAAATAAATCGAAGTTATGCATTTTCAAGCACAGCTCAAAATCCAGCATCTGCATTCCAGCATCCGTTATCATCATCACCCCACTAAATAAGGGATCACAGAGAGCAGAAGTATTTGATATAGGACAGCAGTTTTTCCTAATACTAGAGTTCAATTTTACATCTCTTTCCTCTATGGATTACAGACAAGAAACGTCTGCAACTTTTTTGGTAATATGTAAATATCTGATTTCCTTTTTTTTCCCCCTCATAACATGAGGAAGCCAACAGCAGTGAAATCAGATTTACGGCAGTCACCAGAACTGTTTTAACACTGTTTTAACAGAGGTTACACTAACAGCAGTAGCATACTACTACCAGTGGGATTCAGCTCCAGATTAAGACACCTATGTTTATACATCTAGGTGTAGGCATTTAAGATCAAATCCCAATGAACATCTAGAGAATACAATATGGAGCTCAGAGAGCAATTCAGCCTCTTCCTAAACCACACGCAAAGGGGACTAACCACACGTAGGCTCCACTCACTGCACTGACCAAACCTCCACTGTGCTAGAATGAAAGGCTGGACACGTAATTCACACATGTACCCCTACAATTAGGCATTTTAAGCCCTACCGCATCCTGCCATAAAATTAGTAATTGTTGGCAAAAATTACATTGACTCAAGCCAGTTACAATTCCAGAGAACTGGAGGGTAGCAAAGACCGTACTATAATTAAAAGAAACGGCTGGGACAGTCTTGGGCTTTTCAAACTACTACATCTTATTTTTGTACCTACAGAGTTATTAAAAAGAAGGAAGAACACAAGACTAACAGAAGCCGTCAAACCTTCTTTTATACTGACAACAATTAAAGAAAATACCCATGAATCTTATTTTCAAGACGGGTTTTCCCTACCCACTGTAAAAGATGCTGCAGAGCCCTTGGGCACTCTGTGCTACTATTTGTCACTTAGCGGTTCTCTTCACAAACAGAACCCTGCTTCCTTTCAGGTCTGCAGAGACAGCATAACTAAAAGTGGTAGCAAACTGTATAAGCTTATTTTTGCTACTGAAGATCTACAAATGAGATTCTTGAAAGCAAACAGGGAACAGGACTGCTGAGTAAGATGCTGCCAGTTGTAATCACTTTGCAGAGGAGATCTTCCAAGCGTTCACTGTGCACAGCGATTTACTTACGCGAGTCAATCGTTCAAAGCTGTTCGAGGTCGGATGACATTTCAACATTTTCGTTAGAACACTTTTAAGATGCAGGGCAATTTTGAAGATGATCCTGAAGATTTTTTTTATTATTTAGCTTGAGTAAAACCTCTCAAAGGTGGCAAACAAGATTAAAAAAAAAGTCTGCTACTACCTTTTATATGTTAGAGAGGTGACGTGGATGAAACATCAGGTGTTAACTCCACAGTAGTGTAAAGCTGACATTTATGCTAAAGCTAAGTTAAACATTTTGGCCAGAGCTGCAGAACCCCTCATCTCCGGCCAAAAAAGGTTTTCATTATGTTTCAGAATCTTCCACTGCCCACTCCTCCACTGAAAATTGGGATGCTCCAGGCAATGGAGCATGGGTTGTATCAAGCCAAGCAGACCAGACACAACCTTCCTAGCTGTCGGAACTTCACACCTCTGGGGCACGATCAGGCACAGCCGTTCACAAAATAAGTGGTTCATATAGCTCCAAAGGCTATGTTGTTCTTTTGTGTGGTGGAACAAAAAGCATAGTAAGTTAAAACACTATGGATACAACAAACCCACAACAGAAAAGCCTAAGGGAGAGAACAATATAACTCTATTCATTCCACCCTTTCTGAAATAATATCTCTTCACCTTCCTTTCTGTTCAGTGAGGTGAGGTTTACAACTCTTTTCCTAAGCCATTTTAGCAAAAAAACATGCTGCAGATTATTCCATCGCTACATACAGCACAGTGTTGTGCTTTTCAATGGCAGTGTGCTGTACCAGCTAAACGCAGAGTTAATTCAGAAGTTAGCCCCACTGACGGTAGGAAATAACTTCTTCCTTTGCTGTCACTATCTTAATGGCAGACACAACAGAATACAAATAGTATGGAGGAGGCAGTAAGACTAGACTGGCAGAGGGAGTCCCATACCCCAAGGAAGCAGAGGGACATGAAACTATGTGAACAGGATTTCATGGCAAGGCTCCACGGTACAACACTGAACTCGCCGTGTGGCATCACAGCTGGAAAAAAGAATGTAAACAAAGCTATAGTAACCTCAACTAAACAATTATTTTTTATCCTACTGTATGAAGAACAGGCCCTTGGCATATATTTGTTTCTGACTGCAAAGGAAAGAAAAACATTACTGTTACTATGGTGGGTTTTTTTTTTTTTTTTAAATAGGGTTCCTAGCCTTAGCACAGAGCAAGATGACTTTTACAGAAAGTGCTGAAATTCCTGAAATGACTCCATTGTATCAAAATAAGTTATCTTGTTTGGTTCTTACAGATTTTGAGCGGCTGAAAGAAAAACTGAAATACAGGTATTTCAAAGACTGAAAATTACAGAGCCTTATTTAAATGCTCGTTTTTAGATAACAAACTATGACAACATTGCCTTTAGCAGCAGGGAACTCAACTCAGAAATGCGGAGATCCATCCCAGTTCTATGATCCTATGCAAATTACTAACACAACACAATGCAGTGGTTGAAACAATTGGAATTCCAAAAAAAAAAAAAGTAAGTTGCATGGCGTAACTGCTACCGCAGTGTTTGCATTCACATCTGTTGCCATTCTTCCCACAAGGGAGGTCTGCTATTAGTTCTTAACACAGGTAAGTATTGCTAGTGTGTCCCGCAAATGTTTAATATAGAAATATACCGGGTCATCTGGTTTTGCCTCTTCACTGAAATCCTCTACTAATCACTGATCTGGTATTCTAGTTTTAATTATACACTTAAAATTAAGTGAAAGCACTGATATATATCAAGATTCATTTTCTGATGTTTATTTGAACGTTAGAAAGTAGTTGAGGACATGGCTAAAACACAAGATAGAATCACTACAGATCTTAGCTCTACTTGACTATTAGTACAGTAACATACTCAGTTACAGAAAAACATTTGGTGAAATAACACTGGAAGAAAACAAACGAAAAGCCTTGCATCTGTTCTCAGATAAGTATAAAATGACTGGATTTTAAAATAGCTTTCCTGGAACTGTGCACATATATTCAGCTGCTCACTGGAATGATCAACAAGGTTTGTTTTTAATTATTTGAATCTACCTTTTACAGAAGTGTCTGAAAATTGAAAAGCTGAATTTGGAGAACGGATTCATGGAAGACAAATTTTATTTCATATGAAACCTGCTAACTATCCATGGATAGTGAGCAGAGATAGCAGATCTAGTGTTTGTACAGTTTTGGACAGACCCAGAAGATTTCCACAGAATGGCTTTCAAAAATAAAGTTTACTGGTTGCTTTAGTACCTGCTGGAAACAACCTGAAAAATTAAAATTTTGGAGGGTGGGATGAATGAGCCAGGATAGATTCCATGTTGAACTTTTTTTTAAAGTATATATTACTTATTTAATGTTGCTATAGAATGCAAGGAAATTTAAGCATTTTGAGAAAATAACAGGCTTAACAGCAATCTCTTATTTGGCTGAATTCTATTTTCTTTGCAGGTTAAAGCACAACATCAGTGTGCAGGGAGTTAGAACTTAATAAATACTAATATTTATCAAAATTAGGTTTAAAGGTTTCCTATGGTAATTGATGTCACTACACAAGGAAATTTAACCGAGAATATGACAATCTAAGGAACAGCAGATTCCCATCTTTGGTTTTTAACTCTTGTCTTGCCAGAGATGCATTTTAAAAGCAACAGCCCTCCTTTCATGGTAACTTAAATACTGGGCAGCGATGAGTGAAGGTAATTAACAAGAATATGAATTTTACTTAAAGAAAAAAAAAAGAAGTCTCAAAAATAAGTGTGCTAGCACTTTAAGATAAATCAAAATAACTAAGTCTATCAAGCATTTCACATAGCAGGCAATATTTACATACGACAATGAAGTTTCTGATATAGTACTGTACTTTACCAATTTCATTTCAAGATTTTAACATGTTCTAAGAACACACGCTGCCATCTTCAGACCCTGCATCAATTTGTCTGTTTAACAATGAAGAGATCTGAGAGGAACATGAAGAAGAGCAAGCACTCTGGAGTCTCCCTTTTGTGTTACCATTAGCTTATCCATGTTGCCTACTATGGACAACAGCATATCAGCACATAAACTCTCTATGTAGATCAACAAAAACTACGCAAAGAGATGGTTTATCTCCATAATTAAGTGTTCACATGAGATGTTACCCTGAAGTCAGCAGGACGACTAACATTGTTACTCATAAAATTAGATTTAAATCATGGGTTTCAATTCATTGATAACAAAATCTCACATATCTCACGTGGAAAGGGATTTATACAAAATGCTTATAAAATGCTTGGCAAGTAATCCCTCATTTTAAAGATACAGGAAACTGATAGCATAGATTGCACCCCTAAAGCCAAAAATACCTAAGGAGACTCTTACTCCCAAAGACTCCAAAGTGGCTGGGCTCCACCTTGGGTGGCTGGTTTTTACTTTTCCACTAACATAGTCTTAGTTTCCTACTCTTTGGGGGGGGAGGGGGAAAGAAAAAATAAGAAAAAAAGGAAAAAAAAAGATTCCAAATACTTTACTGTGCCCAGTCATTACTGAAAATGTCAATTTTTAGGAGAGCCTATCAACACAAATCACTACCTACTGAAAGGGTGAACAGAACATGCAGTGAGTGTGCAATGATGTGCACTACTACAAATAAATAACTAATATTTATTTTTCAGAAAGATTCATTCAGATAACTGTGCATGTATTGAATACGCACATAGTATGAGACTTATAATCTCTATTTTGGG